AGGGGTACTATGTACCTCATACTCATTCACATGGGGGACCAGGATCTGGGGGTCCCCTTGTTAAAGGGGGCTTCCAGACTTCAATAAGCCCCCACCCGCAGACCCCCACAATCACCTCCCAGGGTTGTGGGGAAGAGGTCCTTGTCCCTATCAACATGGGGACAAAGTGCTATTGGGGGAAACCCCCCTACCCCATATTACCCTCCCACATTGTGGGCATGTGCTGGGGGGGGCTTGCTCGCTCATCTCTCTCCTTTCTTGGCCTGCCAAGCTGCTTCCTTAGACAAGGGTCCCCCCCATGTTAAGGGTATGTGGTCTGGTATGGTTCAGAAGAGGGAAGTCACCCCCCCCCCCCTTCCTGGCCTGCATGCTTAGAAAATGGTCTGATATGGATTTTGGGGGATTACCACATGCCAACAACAGGGAATCTCACTGACAGCAGATGAGTCATGGTTGTTAAGGATGCAGCAGCCATAGAGCACTGAGCGATCTCAAAACAGCAGTTGGTAAAAGGAACCCTTCCAATCCGAGAGACCTGGAGCGGTTGCTGAAAGAAGAGTGGTCCAAAATTCCATTAGAGAGGTGTAAGAAACTCATTGATGGTTACAGGAAGCGATTGATTTCAGTTATTTTTTCCAAGGGGTGTGCTACCAAATATCAAATTTGAGAGTGCCAATAATTTTGTCCAGTACATTTTTTTGAGTTTTGCGTTGAATCTGTCAGATTTGGCTTTTTGTTTCTCAGCTCTTTTGTGTCATACTAATACAAACAAAGGAAATAAACATGAGAATGTCTAAACATTGTAATTGTAGGAATTTTTTGGGTGAAGTTGTGCATTATCTGACAGAAATACAGGGGTGCCGATACTTTTTTGCCATGACTGTATATATCAGCGGTATATTTAGCTGAATTTCCAAAGTCTAGCTTTTAAATACAGTAGATGTTAGACTGGAGGTGTCATGGTGATCCCACATTAAATGAATGTAACATTTGTTATGTGTGAAGACTTTTACTTATATTCTGAATGACTATAAGTATAAAATAAAAGAATAATAATCCCATAAATTATTATAGTCACTTCTACAATCACTTATGTTAACACAAGTATAGTGCACATCCAGTATATGTATTTATTTTGAAAAGATGTTAAACTATAAATTAGATATAAATAAATGTCAAATGATGAAACACAAAGAGGTTGATATACTAAAAACAGAGTGCAAAATCTGGTGTAGATAGATAAAAAACAATCAGTTTCCAGGTCTTTTTTCTCATAGCTTATGCAGGCCATAGACGGTTCGTTTATCGGCCGATTTTTCGTCCGAAAGAATAATCGGCCGATTTTTGCACTGTTAGTTGGGCAATGGCATCGGCCGATTTTCGCAGTTCCTCCTCATTTCTTTTATCGGTCATGCTGGAAAATGTGCGAAAAACGGCGGATTTTCGCAATCATTGGTGGCAACAGAATGACCAATGTTTCGTTTTTCGGATGAAAAATCAGCTGATAAAGGAACTGTCTATGGCCTGCATTAATTGAACAAGCTGAAGTTAGAAGCTGATTGGCTACCATGCACAGCTGCACCATATTTTGCATGCTCCAGTTTTACTAAATCACCCCCATAGTGAAATGTCATAGGTAGTATTATACAGGTGAAACTCAAGAAATTAGAATATCGTGCAAAAGTTCATTTATTTCAGTAATGCAACTTAAAAGGTGAAACTAATATATGAGATAGACTCATTACATGCAAAGCAAGATAGTTCAAGCCGTGATTTGTCATAATTGTGATGATTATGGCTTACAGCTCATGAAAACCCCAAATCCACAATCTCAGAAAATTAGAATATTGTGAAAAGGCGCAATATTCTAGGCTCAAAGTGTCCAACTCTAATCAGCTAATTAAGCCATAACACCTGCAAAGGGTTCCTGAGCCTTTAAATGGTCTCTCAGTCTGGTTCAGTAAGAATCACAATCATGGGAAAGACTGCTGACCTGACAGTTGTGCAGAAAACCATCATTGACACCCTCCATAAGGAGGGAAAGCCTCAAAAGGTAATTGCAAAAGAAGTTGGATGTTCTCAAAGTGCTGTATCGAAGCACATTAATAGAAAGTTATGTGGAAGGGAAAAGTGTGGAAGAAAAAGGTGCACAAGCAGCAGGGATGACCGCAGCCTGGAGAGGATTGTCAGGAAAAGGCCATTCAAAAGTGTGGGGGACTTTCACAAGGAGTGGACTGAGGCTGGAGTCAGTGCATCAAGAGGCACCACACACAGACGGATCCTGGACATGGGCTTCAAAGGTCGTATTCCTCTTGTCAAGCCGCTCCTGAACAACAAACAACGTCAGAAGCGTCTTATCTGGTCTAAAGAAAAACAGACCTGGTCTGTTGCTCAGTGGTCCAAAGTCCTCTTTTCTGATGAGAGCAACTTTTGCATCTCATTTGGAAACCAAGGACCCAGAGTATGGAGGAAGAGTGGAGAGGCACACACTGCAAGATGCTTGAAGTCTAGTGTGAAGTTTCCACAGTCTGTGTTGATTTGGGGAGCCATGTCATCTGCTGGTGTTGGTCCACTGTGCTTCATTAAGTCCAGGGTCAACGCAGCCATCTACTAGGAAATTTTGGAGCACTTCATGCTTCCTTCCAAAGACGAGCTTTATGGGGATGCTAACTTCATTTTCCAACAGGACTTGGCACCTGCCCACACTGTCAAAAGCATCAAAACCTGATTCAATGACTGTGGGATTACTGTGCTTGATTGGCCAGCAAACTCACCTGACCTGAACCCCATAGAGAATCTATGGGACATTGCCAAGAGAAATATGAGAGACATGAGACCGAACAATGCAGAAGAGCTGAAGGCCGCTATTGAAGCATCCTGGTCTTCCATAACACCTCAGCAGTGCCACAGGCTGATAGCTTCCATGCCACGCCGCAGTGAGGCAGTAATTGCTGCAAAAGGGGCCCAAACCAAGTACTGAGTACATATGCATGCTTATACTTTTCAGAGGTCTGATATTGTTCTACGTACAATCCTTGTTTTATTGGTTGCATGTAATATTCTAATTTTCTGAGATTGTGGATTTGGGGTTTTCATGAGCTGTAAGCCATAATCATCACAATTATGACAAATCACAGCTTGAACTATCTTGCTTTGCATGTAATGAGTCTATCTCATATATTAGTTTCACCTTTTAACTTGCATTACTGAAATAAATGAACTTTTGCACGATATTCTAATTTTTCGAGTTTCACCTGTAATACAAACACTACAGAATGGCTGACACAACAAATATAACATGGTTACTAGAGGTTCTATGAATAAAATACTCAATAGGACATATACAAAAAATTGTAGATTTTTCTTTACATATACACTTTCCCCTTTCTTATTTATTTACATCTTTATTTGTACATTTGCCATTGTATGGGATATATTACAGTAATGATCATCTTTATTTTTTATGTTTTCTGTATTCTGGTTTGCCCTTTCCCTTGTAAAACAACCCATTCAGTTTAAAACAGAAATGAGAGGAAAAAATGTGTGTGTGTGTGTATATATATATATATATATATATATATATATATATATATATACGTATATATATATCTATATATCTATATATACATTTTTTTATATAAAATGTCTTTTTTCCTTTTTTTTTCCTAATAGGTTATCTCATCACCTCTGTAACCTCTGTTCTCAGTTGCCTAAGGAGTTCAGGAAGGAGACAATGGTCTTCCCAGTGAATGGATGAGACAGGCAGACAGTTCTAGCACAGCCAGAAAACTAATCACACTGGGATGGATGTGCTCTCATGTCTAGTGTGGTCAGTTTGAAATAGAAGAGCAGGGGGACTACTGGCAGGGTCACCAGGTATTTCACACAAAGGAAGCAATACAAAGAGAACAGGATACTTTTTAAGTACCGTATTTTTCGCTCCATAAGACACATTTTTTTCCCCCAAAAAATGGGGGGAATTGTCTGTGCGTCTTATAGAGCGAATATTGACCAGCCCTCCCTCCCCTTCCCCCTGTCACCACCGCCGTGTTATAATACTGGGCCGGCCGCTTGGCTCTTCTGTAGCAGAAGAGAGGAGGAGTCTGAGTCACCAGTGCCAGGCAGGGCCCAAAGCAGCTGCCCCTTAAGCCCCTACTGCCCTTAGACTGGGGCCCCGATCACTGCACAGCAGAGCCGACAGGGTAGGCTGAAGACATTGTTGTATCCCCAACCAGCAGGGAGGGGACGGGGCCAGGGCCAGGAGCTCCACTAACCCCGCCCCATGCAGCTTGTATACTCGGGAGGGAACTGCTAGTAGAAGCTGAGATATGAGTGGGAGCCCCGCCCTCAGAGAGGATGCTGAGCCTGACTGGCCAGGTATGTCCCCCCCCCCCCCCATAGACTGCCTGTGGACTGCTATACCAAACTGTATATATGTGCATTGCTAAAAAGTCTCTGTTCATCCCCTGTACTATGTCTTCAGTCTCTGGTCATCTCCTGTATTAAGTCTGTAGTCTCTGGTTATCTTCTATAGTACATCTGCAGTCTCTGGCAATCTCCTGTAGTACATCCACAGTCTCTGGTCATCTCCTATAGTACATCCGCAGTCTCTGGTCATCTCCTGTAGGACATCCGCAGTCTCTGGTCATCTCCTGTAGTACATCCGCAGTCTCTGGTTATCTTCTATAGTACATCTGCAGTCTCTGGTCATCTCCTGTAGTACATCCGCAGTCTCTGGTCATCTCCTGTAGTATGTCCACAGTCTCTGGTCATCTGTAGTATGTCCACAGTCTCTGGTTATCTTCTATAGTACATCTGCAGTCTCTGGTCATCTCCTGTACTGTGTCTGCAGTCTCTGGTTATCTTCTATAGTACATCCGTAGTCTCTGGCCATCTCCTGTAGTACATCCGCAGTCTCTGGTCATCTCCTGTAGTACATCCGCAGTCTCTGATCATCTCCTGCAGTACATCCACAGTCTCTGATCATCTCCTGTAGTACATCCACAGTCTCTGGTCATCTCCTGTAGTACATCCGCAGTCTCTGGTCATCTCCTGTACTGTGTTCGCAGTCTCTGGTCATCTCCTGTACTATGTCCGCAGTCTCTGGTCATCTCCTGTACTGTCTGCAGTCCCTGGTTATCTTCTATAGTACATCCACAGTCTCTGGTCATCTCCTGTAGTTCATTTGCAGTCTGTGGTCATCTCCTGGTTATTTATTTTACCCCAGGGAGGATTTTTTTCTTTGTTGCTGGATATATGGGGGTGTCTCATTGTTGCTGGATATATGGGGGATGTCTCTTTGCTGTTGGATATATGGAGGATGTCTCTTTGCTGCTAGATTTTTAGGGGGATGTATTTTTGCTAATTAAAAGGGGGTGTCTCTTTGCTGGATTTATGGAGGATGTCTCTTTGCTAAATATATGGGAACATCTCTTTCCAGCTGGATGTATGGGGGTGTCTTTTTGCTGTTGGATATTTGGGGGATGTCTCTTTGCTAAATATATGTGGGATGTCTATTTGCTGGATAGACGGGGGATGTTTCTTTGCTGCTGGATATATGGGGATGTCTCTTTGATGCCTAATATATTGAGGTGTCTCTTTCCGGGATATATGAGGGATGTTTCTTTGCTGCTGGATATATTGGGGGATGTCTTTCTGCTAAATATATGCGGGATGTCTCATTGCTGATGGATATATGGGGATGTCTCTTTGTTGCTGAATATATGGGGGTGTCTCATTGTTGCTGAATAGATGGGGGTCTCTTTGTTGCTGAATATATGGGGGTGTCTCTTTGCTGCTGAATATATGGGGTGTCTCTTTGCTGCTGGATATATGAGGGATGTCTCTTTGCTGCTGGATATTTGGGGATGTCTCTTTGCTAAATTTATGTGCATGTCCCTTTGCTGAATATGGGAGATGTCTCTGATGTGAGAAGCAGAGAAGAGACATATGATAAAAATGTTAAAATCGATGGATATTTATACATTTTACTGCATTTCTTTTTATGAAGAAATTCCACACAAATTACTTGTATAGCCCCAAATTTGGCCTTGTTCCCTGTTCTCTAAAGTGGGGGTGCTAGGAGGAGTGTATGGGTAGAGACAAGGGGTGGTTCTATGGGGCAGTTCTAGGGATGGTTCAGGGTGGAGGCAAGCATGACCTAGGTGAGAGGGTGAGTTCCTGCTCCTTTTCTCTGAGAAAAAAAGCTTTGCATACAGTTCTTGATTACGAGCAGTACAATCCATTTCCATTGAAAAATGTAAGTAAAATTAAAGATAACATTAGAACAATACAAATATCAATAGTAACATTGCAGTTCAAGCAATTAAATAATAATAAGCTGGTATCAGTTTGACACTGTAATCTTCTTTTAGTCAAGAAACAGATGGTAAATAAATGTTTCAGCTTCACAACTTTTTGATGGAGAAGGGGTCTGTCTATAAGGGCCTGTTTACACCAGATGCAGACCAGTGCACTTTTATCTGCATCAAAGTTCACACCTATGCAGTCAGTTCTAGTCATTTTCCAGTGCAGAAAAAAAAGTAGAACATGCTGCATTTTTTTCTGCACAGAACTGTACTGGAACATAGCAAAACATATAAAAAAATGCATGAGAACGGAGTGTGGTGTGAACTGTTAGCAAAAACGCACCTGGAAGTCGTCCAGTGTGTGTTTTTGTGGTGTGAAATGGAGAGTTGATCTAAGAAAATTGGTCATTTAATCCATCGAGACCATAAATTGTTGAATTTTTTTGATCACCCTGTGGCCATGATGGCCAATTTGTACACTCCTACCCTTACCATGTTTGCCTGCTCAAACCGGAACCGCCGATTGAACTCTGTCATCAATAAGAAAACACATTGTGGAGTTTTCTCTTTGTTTCTTTAAAGCGTCTGGACAGTTTGTATGTATTTCACTTTCTCATGATGCCATTGGGATCTGCAGTATGCTCATTAGGAAGCAGGTTGCATTTCCATGTGTCTGCTCCAGTGAGCTCATTTACTAAATGACACTTATTAATGCTGATTTGCATGCTCCATTTTGCTGTGCTGTACTTATACAAATATAGGGAAATAATGTAAGAAATATTACTCGAACAAATTACAACATCTTGATAAATTGATTACACCGAGTTAAATGTCTTTTTAAACAGTTTTATCATTTGCACTTTGTTGTCTGTTTAATTTAATTAATAAAAAGCCCGTTAGATGACTAAACAGCTACTTGACATCAGTGCTTGTTATATTTAGACTTTGGTTAGCCAAGTGAAACAAACATGTTTTACCCGATAATAGGACAATTAATGACTGAATGATTAATGCTTTATAATGAAGTAAAATAGGACTTTATTTCAGCTGAGTTTCATCAGTTTATAAGGATTTTTAAAAAATAGTGAAATTGCGTCATTTTACCCCCATCTGTGATTTGCAAGCTTTGGTTTATTAATTTGCAAGGTCAGCTACGATCTCTGTGTGATCCAAACCCAGCTTGTGTACTGACAACTATGAAACATTATGGATGCCTAAGAGCAACCTGAAACATGCAAACTCAGACCTCTCAACTAAAAAATGTATCTTCATATAGCCCTTAACTTTAAAAACAGACCTATTGGCTGAGCCCTCTGCTTAAAAATAAAACGTGTATATTCATATAGCTTTTAACTTTATTTTAACTTTATATTCATAAAGCTCTCAACTTAAAGGATATGTTCGCCTTTGACCAAAAAAATAAATGGCCATTTTTTTGCAGGTACAGAAAAAGCCTGTAAAGCATTGCACCATTAATCAGCAGAATGCTGGTGACACGCGGGTCTCCTGCAGACCTGTCAGCATATCTGCTTGCTTGTACAAAACTTTTCCAACGACTTAAAGTGAAACTTCACCCAAAAGAGGAATTTCTGCTTCTTTGCATCCTCCCCCTCCTCTTTCTGTATTGCCACTTTTTTGGGGAGCGGGGGGAGTGGGTATCTGGTTTTGACAGGTATCCACTCCCATGTTTGCTCAGATTGCCATGGCGATCTGAGTGGAAGTTTGTCGCCCCCCTCCTTCCCCCGCAGCCTTCTGGGACACAGAAGACTGTGAAACCATTCACAAAATGCAGTGCAGCTTGCGCATGTGCAGTGGGAACCGCCTGTGAAATCACAAGACTTCACTGCTGGTTTCCCGTACTTAAGATCCCAGTGCCTGGACCCAAAACCCATTGAAGAATCGGCTCTGGTGAGGACAACACTGGATCTCTGGACAGGTAAGTGTCAGGCCCGGACTGGCCATAGGGCACACCGGCCATTTGTGGTCTGGGGCCTCCTGTATTGGAGAGGCGGCCGGGCAGCACATAGAGGACCGTGCATTTTTAGGTTCCTCTATGTTCCGCCTGGCCGCCTCTCCTATCCATCCCCTGCAGGCTGCATGCCCTGGGCTCCTGTATGCTCCCCCCAGGGCTGCCCCCTTATCCCCCAGATCTGTCAGCATATGCCATCCCCAGTGCTAACAGTCAAACCCCACCACCACCACCCACGGGAGAGAGAAAGCTGACCCCCCTCCTCCTGCCCTCTCCTCCTGTGTCTGCCCCGCCCACACTTCCAGCCAGCCTTGAGTCCCCCCCCCCCCCTCTGTTTCTTTCTTTCCTTTCCTTTCCTTTCTTTCCCTCCTTCCTTCCTACAAAAAAATTTAAGAAAAAAAAAAATATAAAATTGTAAAAAATTAAATAAAAAACTGCTGACACTAGTGGCGGAACTACCAGGTTTGCAAAGGTTGCTCTTGTGGCCGGGCCCTGGTGTTCCGCCACCGGGCTCCAAGGAAAGGGTCACTGGGCTTTGGACTGCACAGTCCAAAATGCCTGGACCTATTTTTTTTGTCCCAGTCTGGGCCTGGTAAGTGTCCTTATATTAAAAGTCAACAGCTACAGTATTTGTAATTGTTGACTTTTAATTTTTGTGGGGAGACTAGAACTCCTCTTTAAAGCTATGTAAACCCAATCACCAAAATCTCATATAATCGTTTACTGTTTAACATGATTTTCATCTCAGTCTTTTTAAATCTGCAGCTTTTTATAATTATAATACTTGATCCTGCCATGAAGGTCCTTGTTTAGGCACTTCCTGTTAAAGGGTGATCATTTTCTGTCCTCGTCTTACAACTACTCTCTTGCTCTGTCACCCTGTCACATGTGCTTCCATTGGAGACTACAAACTGTGGTGCTAAATGATGCTCCACATTGCTCAGGCATGATACTCTCTTGTCATGATCAGGAAACCTAACCTGAGAAACGACGTACATCTGCTGCTGAATGAATCTGAGGATCTAAGCATGAACAAAGGCAGTTATAACTTCAAGAGACTGGAGGAGGTCGGCTGTACTGAAATGCTAAAAAAGAAAAAAAAGCGAAAACGTTTTCTATAACAAAAGCAAAAGGGTGGCAGTTGCTTTTGATACACAGTGCTTTAGCAAAACAATTAATTAATTAGGTAATTAACCTGTTCCCACCCGGCCAATAGTAGAATGATGGCTGAGCATAACTCTTGTCTATCTGGGTGGGCATCATATGACGTCCTTTCCAGGATGCGCCTCCCGTGAGGCCATGCTGTGGTGAGATCTGTGACTGGCTGTGTACTTCAGACACAGCCAATGACAGATCTGTGTACCAATCACAGCAGGTCACATGTACCAATCACAGCAGGTCACATGACAATTGTAAACAATGGATGGCTTCCTTTCATGCCATCCATTGTGTTCAATTGTGTCACTAGCTGTGATTGGTCACAGTAATCACTTGTACATACTGGGCCAATCACAGTCCATTTGCGTTATGTGATTAGCCATTGCCAATCACAGCTTATCACAATAAAAAAAACTGAATGATTTGATTTCATTCAGTTAAATGCTTGCTTATAGCAAATAAATTCTTTGCTATATGCCAGGGGTCTCCAAACATTCCAAACAAAGGGCAGTTTGCTGTCCTTCAGACTTTAGAGGGGCCAGATTGTGACCACCGGGGGTATATAAAGTCTCAGGGCCAACATCAGTAAGAGTAGACAAGGTCTCAGGTGTGATGTTCAGTTGCATAGTGCCTGTGGTCAGTAGAAGGAGGAGTAGTGCCCCATCATTGCTATCACTGGAAGGAATATTGGTCCATCATTGATGTTATTGGATGGAATAGGGCCCCATCATTGATAACAGTGGGAAGAAAAATGTCCCATTGCTGGTGTCAGTTGGGGGAATTATGCCCCCACTTTTGGTGTCAGTGTTAGTAATAGTGCCCCAAGGGCCTGTTAAAGACTAGCAGAGGGCCACATCCAGCCCTCGAGCCGCAGTTTGGAGACCCTTGCTATAAGTATAAGCAATCATAATGTGTAAAAAAAAGAAAAAAAAATACTGAACACTTCCCCAAAGTAGT